GTCGTCGTCCAGTAGTAGTAGTAGTAGTAGTAGCATTAGTAGCAGCAGTAGTAGTAGTAGTCGTCGTCGTCGTCGAGTAGTAGTAGTAGTAGTAGTAGTAGTAGTAGTCGTAGTAGTAGTGGTAGTGGTAGTAGTGGTAGTAGTAGCCGTCGTAGTAGCAGCAGCAGGAGTAGTAGTAGTAGTAGTAGTAGGAGGAGGAGTAATAGTAGGTGTAGCAGTAGCAGCAGTAGACCCCCCCTCAGGCACAACATTTTGCTTAACTTCATTTTGAGGACAATAGGTTGGGTTAGGGGAGGGGTGGGGGGGAGGTAGTTCCGTACATGCAGAGCGCATCCTGCAACCAACAATTTAATTCTCCCGACGACCTCATAATAATCTACGTCAAGCAAAACGTGGTGCCCAGTGGGGGTGACGGCTTGTTGTAATACTTGCAGCACGCGTCCTCCTCCTCGTCATCGTCGCCGTAATAATAGTTAGTAGTGATAATTGTAGTCGTCGTCATAGTGGCAGCAGTAGTTTGTAGTAGTAATCCAAGGGCGCACCCCCTCACTCCCTCCTGGACCGCTCAGCCCCCCTGTGTTCATGACTTAGGGGCCATGATATTCTAGAGAAACCAGATTCCCAAAAGAGGATGTTCGGTCCTTGGGGACCCGTCTGCGGTCAGTATACAGAAGGGCCAGGCACGTTGACCGGCAACATACTGGCTCAATTACTGCCATACAAAGAGATCCTTCTCCAGTCGGCCGGCCCCGATCAAGAGGAAAGTATGCATCATTAAGATGAACCCATCTAAGTCAAATCTAATTTCAATAGATTGAAAGTAATAAGCTAAAACCCTACCTCAAGTAAATTTCACATTTAATTAAAGTCTGGTTGAAATCCATTAACCTCTGATTGAAATCCAATTTAAATCAGATGGAATCTTATTGCGATGTAAGTGAATCCTTTCTATAGATGTTGTCCACTATTCTAGTGATTTTCTATAAGGGAAGCGAGGCCCCCTCACGCTAGCTCAGCAAGGGTAAGCTCAGGAAGCAATGTTCGAGCCTTAATTCTGAATAAACGTTAGCAAGCAAAGCAGCCTTCAAAATCAGCTTTGCTTTTGTCATTCTCAGAAAAGCCAAGCAAGCAAGCCTCCCCAAACCCTACCTGAATCTAGTCAAGAATTAAATGGAAAGCTACTCAGTATCATTTGCAAATCCAACAAAACCTATTCAGAATTAAGACCATGCAGCAAATCCTTTCTATGCTTAGTTTTTTCTATTCAGGTAAGGGTTTTCTATAAACAGAGAGAGACCCTCTCATGCAAGCTCCGTAAAGGGTAGCTCAGGAAACAATGTTCGAGCCTTTAATTCTGAATAAACTTTAGCAAGCAAATCAGCTTGCAAAATCGGCTCTGCCTTTCTCTTTTTCAGAGCAGCCAAGTAAGCGAGTCTCCCTAAACCTCAAGCTTTTAAAGGTAAGCTCCTGGAATTAATTAAGAACTAAACTAAATGCTAACTTGAACTTTTTTGTAAACCAATCAAAACCTATTCAACATGTTGAATCTAATGTTCCTTTGGCCCAAATATGCATCCGCCTTCAAATTTATCTTTGACCACTAACTTGGCCAAAAAAACTTCTTTAAATCTAGCGTTTTGTAAAATAAAGAGCATGGATTATTATTGTTAGTGGTAGTAGTATAGTGGTTGTAGTAATAGTGAAAAAACATAATAGTAGGAGGAGCAGGGGAAGCGCTGCTGCTGCTGCTGTTGCTGCTGCTGCTGCTGCAAAAGTAGCAACAGCAGTAGCAGCAGCAGTGGTATAATAGCAACAGCAAAAGCAGCAGCTGCCTCGCTCGCGGTTGTTCTGCATCTTGCCCTTTCCCTTTTTTCTTGCGCTGCTTCTTCCTCTAGGCTGGATTCCTGCTGCTTCTGCTGCTGCTGCAGCTGATGTCGTCGTCGTGCTGGTGCTGCCGCCGACGCTAGTGTTCACTACTTGCAGCAGCCATTGCCATCATTGCTCTGGTTCCATGCTATTGCTGACATTCTTTGTTCTTTGTGCTTGCGTGGCTCATGGACAATTTCAACTGAGGTCAGCTCCACATGTCACCGAAGCTGACGACATGGTGAAGAATCGCTGAAAAGGACGCCGGCATGGTTCGAAAGTAATCTTCTGCACTCTGGACACCGGCCTCGATTGAGTCAGCAACCGCCCAGAAATCAGAGGGGATTGTCTTGGCAGTTCCGTCTCTGACACATCGCCGCAAAGTAAGAACAAGCGAGACAAATTGTTGCATCCCTGAGGATCCTTCAGTCACACGCAAATACCCGAAAGCTCCTAAAGCCTCCTTGGCTGACGCCTTGGCTGTCCAGCCTGAAAGAGCCGATAACTTTGCAAATCGCTCCCAAAGATACTTGCCGCAAAATCCCGCTGTCCCGTCAGTAATCGCCTTCTCAATCTCTTGCACAGCCTCCCCGAACCAAACGGAAACAGAGCCAGTTTCAGGCGCACCTAACTTGAGCCGGCAACCTGCATCACAATAATCGTCCAACAGACGCTGCCCGGCGCGATTTGCCGCCAAGGCATATTGTCCAAAGTCATAGTCTCCGCTGCAAACGCCATCAATGCCAACATGTGAGACGAGAATAGGAAACTCCTCACCTTGCAGTTCCAGGAAGCGTCGGGCCCATAGGGTTCCATAGGAAAACCCATGGATCCCAATGTCAGCTGTGCTTCCCGTTTCGGCTTGAACTGCCATGATGACTGAAGCCAGATCTCGCGCTGCATTGGCAGCAGTGAAATGCTTGGGTGCGCCAATGTCTTTGGATATTTCGGAAAGGCAAGCATCAATAGTTTCCGCGGATACATTGCCGAGACCTACCCACTTCATCCATGAAGTGCCCCACGGCAAATTACCAGGCTTGTTGCGGACCTTAGGGCAATCTAATAGCGTAGACCATCCAGTACCACGGTGGTCCAGCGTATATGAAACCTTTCCAGGCACTGAGATGTGGTATAGCAATGGATGCGAAGGCGCACCAGGGCCACCTTGCATCAACCAGAGCTGGCCATCATCTTTGGCACCCTCATCTGAGCGCTTCACTGTCACAGTGATGCTGCCACCGGCCATTCCCTGACTATAGTCAAGTGGTACCCGGTATGTGCGGCAACCTGGGTCGCTGGTAAGGAACTCAAATTATATAAGCTACTATAATAAGAAAACCCTATCATTTAGTACATACCCATATTATGGTACTTTAATTTAAGTTCCTGAACAGCAACCCAGCAACTCCCGAAGAACAGGCGCCTTGGTGGAGAGGGAGGGCTCCAACCGGCTCCCAAACCCATCTCACGACTTGCCACGAACCTGGGTTGCTGTGAAGGAAGTTGTGTTAAGTTACTACATTGGGCAAACCC